GAATATTTTTACTCTTCTTTTTTACCCCTAATGATATGGCATAAAGGGTTTTATTCTTTTCCTTATATTTAATGATATGACAAAGTGAAGGGAATTTTAGAGTTTCTTTGCATTGAAATGAGAACCATTTGTTATGAAAAGAGCACAATTAATGCTTCTAGAAGGACAATAATAAATGGGACCATAGGGAGTATAGGTGATACATTTCGATATTAATAGGTGTCAGTGAGGTAGAGAATTTATCTAGAGTTTAAATTTCCGAACTGGTTTTTATTTTTTTTTTTCTTGAAGTATTATGCTTCGATATACTTATTAGGATTTTAGTTAAGAGTAGCCGGTTAGCTGCAACTCATCATTATGTGAGGGGTTCGAGTCTCCCTTTTGTTTATTTTTTTTCTTTGAAAGCTTATGAAAAGGAATAAATGAAGTGTTTTTGAATTTTGAAAATTTTCTATTTTGCACATAAGAGTAATTTGTGAAATGCATTTATTATCATTACCATTATAGTTCGACCCATTGACCAAAACTGCTACATATGCCACTACTTCCCTCAGGTGAGACGGAGGAGGAATTCTCGACTAGGTTGGCAAATAACTTGGAAGATCTCATCCTCAAAGAGGGGCCCGAAACAGTATAAATTCCACTCCTAGGATCTACTTTCCTTATTGACTGTTATAAACTTCAACAATAGCTTGACTGCTAATCTTCTTTTTCTTGTTATTTTTTTGTCAACTTTTGCTAGATAGCTGCTTTCATTGCGGAGCCTGTCATGGGGGCAGGCGGTGTAATACCACCACCAGCAACTTATTTTGATAAGGTGCGAGTCCTTATTCGTATCTGTTTGAGTATAAAAACCTTTCCTAGGCCACATCCACAAGCTCGAGCTTTTGGTCGAGTTGGTTCCTTAACATGGTATCAGAGCCTTCTTGACAAAGAAGTCACGAGTTCAAATCTCACTGCCACCCAGTTTCAAAAAATTAATTTTCACGTGCAAGGCTTGAGCAAACACAAATCTCGCCTGCACGTGAGGGGGCATGTTAGAGTATATAACCTAAAAGCTTGTAGTTGGGTTAAACTATTTTTTTGATATGGTACCAGAGCTTCGTTGACCAAGAGGTCACGAGTTCGAACCTCACCGCCACCTTTTTTCTTTAAATTAAGGTTTCACGTGCAAGGCTCGAAGCAGCCACATCTGCACGTGGGGGGGGGGGGGGGGGT